ATATGTGTAACTGGAAGTAGGTATTACATAGTTTCCTACACATTTGTCTTAGTTTGAACTGAAGAGCTGTTGACTTGAGACATTCTCTACGTACAATAAGCAAAAAGTATTCAGACAGAGAAAATATTTTTTGAGAAAATATTTTTTGAGAAAATATTTTTTAAGAAAATATTTAACTTTATTTTTCAAAAATAAACATTATCCAGCAAGAAATGAATCATCAAATTGATGTCGAATGAATATCGATACGATAATTTCAGCATCAATTTGACGTCAATTCGACGTTTAATTGATGATTATTTGCTGAATAATTAACAATTTATTCATAAAAAATAAAATAGACTATATGTTTCTTATAATATATATATTAATATACCAAAAAGATGTTAATTATAGAAAATATATCATTTGAAAAATAAGCGAAAATTAAAAATTGTATTATTTGGATGATCAAAAAGTATTCGTACAGTCGAGAAATTTAACTTCTAAAATCAGAAATACATGCAAAGCTCGGTTTATGTTAGAACAAAATGTATTCATTGTAAAAATAAAATTGCTAATACTTATTTTCTACAAATAAGACTTTTTTCATAAAAAATTTCCTTGTACGAATACATTTTGTTCTCACTGTATGTACGTTTAATGTGCTGTATCTTATTTCTTAAAGTTCTCAATGAAGGAAATGGAGCAACAAGTTTAATTATTTGATTATAACCATGCGATCCACATGCAAAATGCAAGTTCAATCCTTTTTCGATTGTTTCATCTGACCACTTGGAACCTTTTGTAGTACCATATACAATTGCTCTTTGTTGATCTTTATTAAGAATTGTATTGATTATTTCAGTATTTTCCTCTATATTTTTTTCTAAGTCATTAACTTTACTTTTTAAAATATCTCTTTCCTTTTCAGCCATTTTTAATTTTTCTTTTAGTATTTCATATTCTTCTGGACTAGGTAAATTCTCCGTAGACAATATTTGGTTTGCAGTAATTTCATATTCTTTTGGACTAGATAAATTCTCCGTAGACAATATTTGGTTTGCAGTACATTCTGATGATATATGTAGATTAGAATTTGATCTGTAATTTTCGTCTTTAGAGAATGTCTCCAATGTATTTATATCAATGGGTTTTTTCATTACGACACAATGTGCAGTATGGACATACTTCTTACGTGACCCAAACGTAATAGATTTCCTTTTTTTGGAAAGTAAACAATAATTATGTTCTTGTAATTCATTTGAATACTGCTCTCTTTTATAACTCTTGTTTTTTTGTTTCTCAAAATTTTCTGAAGCAGTATACGAATGATCACTTCTTAATCCTGTCTTTTTGTGAGAAAGAAATTCAATTGATTCATTACATCGCTGTTCTGATTGAATTTCTGCAAGAGGTTTCTTTTTCATAGATTGTTGACATTTGCAAAACAAACTTGGTATGGCACCTTTCCTTATAAGTTTTTTGCTACCAACGCGGAATAATTCTGATGAATGGAAATGAACCTAAAAAATAAGTGGTACATGTTAGAGAAAAATATCTGTCCCAACTATCATTAACGTAACATCAATATGTTGGAATTTTTCACGCAACTACGTAATCGTACATACACTCGTATTACATTGAATTTAATATATTGATATTGAATGGGAAATTATAACATTGATTATTTTTGTTATTTTTGTTGATGTTTATGAGATTTACATTATAAAACATTTGTATGCTTCAGTACCAACCTCACACAATAAAGCTGATTTTGAAGGTTTCCAGTCAGGAATTCCGGCAGCATCAATCCATTTTTGTCTCAAATTTGGATCTTGGGCAAATGTTGTGCAGCAATATCCGTCTTTATTAGAATTTGTGCATTTAGGAGCACTGCATCCAGCAGGCATTTTATGATATGCACAAATCTTGATATCAGAAATGTAAAAATTCGTAATTTTATTTGTATATATATATATATAAAAAAAAGTATGTGTACATATATATATATATATATATATGTATGTATGTGTACATACACACACTATACACACACACACACACACACACACACACGATAGAAGAATGTACATACTTTCAAGATTATTATGTATTACTTACAAAGGCCTGATCAATTAAGAAGGAAATTGCAGCACAAGGTGACAATAGCGTACTGCAGTTATCTAACCTAAACTCCCACTATAGCTCTACGGAGCTTGATACTAGGTCCAATCAGAGGAGATCGGATCATATGGCACTTCGCCACTTTCTCCCTGTGAGGCTTTCTAGTGGGAAATGACTGCAAAAGCAGTATGCCAAACTTGAGACCAAAATGGATTGATGTCGGAATTTCTGATTGGAAACCTTCAAAATCAGCTGTACTGTGTGAGATCAATATCGAAGAGAAATACAAATGTTTTATAAACAGCAACAAAAATAATATCAATATTATAATTTCTTACTCAATATCAATATGTTAAATTCAATATAATGCGAGTGTTTGTAATGATTATGTAATTGCGTGAAAAATTCTAACATATTAATATGTTACGTTAATGATAGTTGACGAGACAGATATTTTTCTCTAACTTCTTACTTTTTAGGTTCATCTCCATTCATCAGAATTATTCCGCATTGGTAACAAAAAAATTATAAGGAAAAATGCCATACTGAGTTTATTTTGCAAATGTAAAGAATCTATGAAAGGAAAATCTTTTGCAGAAATTCAATCAGAACAGCGATGTAATGAATCAATTGAATTTCTTCCTTACAAAAAGACAGAATTATGAAGTGATCATTCATATGCTGCTATAGAAAATTTTGAGAAGCAAGAAAACAAGAGTTGCAAAAGAGAGCAATATTTAAATGAATTACAAGAATATAATTATTGTTTACTTTCCAAAAAAAGAAAATCTATTACGTTTGGGTCGTAAGAAGTATGTCCATATTGCACAGTGTGTTGTGAATGAAAGAAACCATTGATATAAATACCTTGGAGACATTCTCTGAAGAGAAAAATTACAGATTAAATTCTAATCTATATATATATATATATATATATATATTTATCTTAATATAATTAAGTCTAAATTCAGCAAAAGAGTCTCAGAGA